CCCCCCCGCGGCCAGAGCGCCGCGCCGCCGCCCCCCTCCAGGTGCCGCCCCAAGCACCAGCTTGGGTGCTTGGTGCCTGGGGCCGGCCCTGGCCATGGTCCAACTACCTTGCATAATATTTTAAATGTGGATTTGTAAGGGCATAATTACAGCCCACAATGAAAAACATTTCAGGATGTTTATGCTAGAAGAGGGGTTATAAAGCATTGAAGAGAAACCAGTTAAACGTGCATGTCCATTCACTGACGGAGGAGGCAGAGAAGCTGAACATCTTTTGCATCCTACCTACTAAAAGTATCTTCTTTTTTACATTCCTTCTATGAAGTGCTATATTGCATCCCTTCACTGATCTCTTACTCCATCTAATTCAAACTCATTGTTTTACTAATCTCGCACCTCATATCATTTGTGCTCTCATGTCCCCTTTCTCACTAGGTTTATTTCTCCCCATCTTCTTATTGTACTGCTCCTTTTGCCTCCAGCTTTTGGCTTCATGTCTCTGTCATGCTACTTGCCTAGGCCTGGATCAGTCGCCAAGCTCCCTCTCTCTCTTTCCCTTTCAGTCTAATTCTCCAGCAATTTCTTCTCAGATGTCCCTAAGATCCTTGCAATGTCTTGTCTTGTAGAGGGTGAAGTCCACTGGCGAAGGGCATGTGCCGTAAAGCATCATGTGAATTTGGGATTCTAGATGATTTATGTTTTCCAACCTTTGCAAGCAGCCATCTGTTTAATCAGACTAAATCTTCACCTGTAACTACAAGCTGCTTTCCACTCATGCCATGGTATCACTGGGGGTTGGAATTGGTGTTACTCTTCTTCCTGCCCAATTTACTATGGCTTTGCACTGCTCAGTGGGCCAGCTACCCCTAGCACTGCTACCATGAAGCACTCAAAAAGCTTGAGATGTGATTTTTAAACCAAAGACTTTAAAAACACATTTTAAAAAAATGACCTTCTGCATTTTAAGCCTTCAGAGCATGCTCTGGATTCTGCTTTCACCTTTGTCTATAACCAGGATGGTTAGAAACTTTTAAAACTATGTGATTGAGTCTCACACATTTACCTGGACTTCAGCTGGAGCTGTAAGAAAAACACTGTCAGGTGAATGGTGATAAAGCTAGCCTGCTGGCAGGCTCCCTCTAAATCCATTATTAATGTAGAATCCTAGAATATCAGGGTTGGAAGGGATGTCATCTAGTCCAACCCCCTGATCAAAGCAGGACTAATCCCCAGAACAGATTTTTAGCCCAGTTCCCTAAATGGCCCCCTCAAGGATTGAACTCTCAACCCTAGGTTTAGTAGGCCAATGCTTAAACCACTGAACCTGCATGGAGCTCTGGGAGGGAGCCTGTAACCCAGGCCGCCTGGGTTCTGGTCTCAGCTATGGGGCCCGGATCGAGTAGGGTGTGAGGGGTTGTACCCGTGGGGTAGTGGTGGGAGCGCGGAGGGACCAGGCTTCCTAAGGGCGCTGCGCCTTTAAATGCTCTGGGGAGCGGGACTTGCAGACACAACATTTCCAGGTTGCAAAATAGTGTCTGTTAAATTCAACCAATTAAAAAAACAACAACCTGCTCTGCGCATCCACTAGCCAATCAGAGAACGGTCGCGGGGTAGATTAGGATTGAGGGGAAATAAGATTAACGGTGTGTCTAGCCAATCACTTTATGCGAGATCAGCCAATGAGCGAGGCGTTTCTGGAAGGAGGTGGTACTTGGGACTCATGATTGACAAGGAGGGAACCTAATCAGAAGGTAAAGAGTCTGGTCAGGTTTGGCCCATGTTACTTTGCTAGGGGACGGTGCGAGTGCTTGCTAGGTAGAGACGGACAGCTCATGAAGCCAATCAGAATTGTGAGGCTCGCGCGGCCACACGAACGGGGAAAGAGCTCTCAGGGAGGGCGGGACTGGTTTCCTGGAACGGAGATCGGCGTTTCCTTTAACCAATGAGAATGGCAGATGGGTGCGTGCTGCCCAATGGGGTGGCTATAGGCGGGGCGCGGCGAAGCCGGGGTCCGGGCGCTGGCAGGGGCCGGGCTGGTTAGTGGCGATGGGGCTGCGGGAGGTTGCGCTGTGGGGGACCCTCCTGCTGCTGCTGCCGCCGGGACCCGACCGGCTGGAGGGGGCCCGTGGCGGGCCGCTGCGGAGGCGGCTTGCGGCGGAGCTGGGCTGCGGGGAGCTGCGCGGATTCGAGCCCATCCTGGGCAACAACACCTACCAGGTGCGGGGCCGGGACCCGGGGCGGACAGACAGACCCCGGCTGCGGGGGTGGGACAGACCGACCGACAGATCCCCTTCCCCCCTGCCGCCGCTGATGGTCTTGCCGTGCCCAGAATAGGGGGTATTGCCCTATGCCGGCCATGCCTGTCTGCTCTTGGGGGGGCTCCCAAGCTGCCTTAGTCTTTGCCTCCTAGCAGAGCCCCAAGGACAGCAATTCACCTTCCCTCTCTTGCAGGGAGGGACCCCTTGTCTTGGGCCCCGGGAGTGCTAAAGCTGGCCCTCCCACCTTGTTTTCTAGCACTAATTGCCAGTGCCTTCAAGAAATCTCTGCATACAATAGGTATTGGGGCGGGGGGCGGCTGGTCTTTGCCTGCAGTGCACAGCCAGGAGCCGAGGGGGTTAAGTTTGTATAGAGCAGGTTCCTGCCACGTGAGTGTCTATTATGGCAAATGTCAATGTGACCTTTGGTAAGTCACTTACTAGGTTGGTGCCTCCGTTTCCCCATCTACTGAATGGGGATAATGGAACCCATTTTGCCTGGAGTTATTTAGAGAGGTATCTTTAATGTCCGAGCACTCGGTTTACCTGCATGTGTCAGCGCAGGGCAGAATCTTAATGGCTAGTCTGTGTGCTATTGCAGGCCCACAGAGAACCCTTTAACGTTGTGTTAAATACCTCGGTGTGCCTTCACCTGAACAGCATTGTAACTTCTCCCTGACTTTCAAAGTGAGATTGAAAACTGGTCACTCTGCTGATGCTCCTGTGAGATTGTCAAGCGTCTGAGGCTCTGAGTCTTGTTGCACCTTGGTGCATCTTTGGAACTCTGCAGCAGGTGTTGAATGATATGTCTCTAAAAAAAACCCTCCCCAGTCATCTGTTAGCCACTGTTCACTGACTTGGTAGAGTGCAATGGCTCCAAAGATTGCACCTGTATGTGTACTGCAGGAACCTGTGCTCCACTGACAATGAGCATAGGGGCATATAATCAAAACTGTAACAGGCCTTTAACTATAGCAGGGCAATTCAGTGCTGCTGTTGCATTAATAATCTGCTGTAGAAAATCCTATTATTTGGTTCCTTCTGTATCTCTCCTGTCTCTCCCTATTCCCTTTATGGCTTTAGCAGATGTTTGTTTCACTCTTGTTGTTTTTCTTTGTGGTTTAATTCTGTACCTGAGATGTATGTACCGTTTTGGGGATCCCCTGAGAGGCAGAACTGTGTCTGGCAGGCTTATCCCCCTTTCCCCTGGGGAGGGGTCTCTTAGCTGGGTAGAGTCTGAGTTAACATTTGTGGCAGTGGCTTCTCTTTCTGCATTTTTATATTTTAAACTTTTAAGTAATAGCTGAGATGCTATTCCCACAGAAGATGTGGTGTGCCAGCACTTCACCTGAACGCAGTAGCTTCACTACAGTGATTGAAAGAATGAGGTGGAAGATTAAGGAGATGCTGCCAGGTTTGGTAGACCTAAAATCTAATGTCCTGGTTATTTCCCATTTTCAAGGACAGCTTAAACTTCAGTCACCTACCCCCACAAAAACTAAATGGGTTAGTCCTCTCTCTCCTAGTACAGGCCTCCCCAAAACACCGCCCCCCCCCCCCAGCCACCTTACCAGTTGCTTACTAGCCAGGGGCTGGTAGAAAAAAGGAGATCTTAACCCCAGAAAGATCTAGGGGTACTGCACTGGAAGCCCCAGCTGCCTTCTGCTTTTGTGTAAATACTCTGTTTTAGTGTTACCTCATGCTCCCAACTCACCCCCATCCTGCTTGCTTGTGGCATCCTGCCTGACACCTAGATTGTAACTCTGTGGGGGAGGGAGTGTCATCGTAGTTACATGTCTGTCCAGCACTTAGCACAATGGAATCCTGGTCTTTGATGGGGGTTCCTGGTTGCTACTACAATATAGCAACTAGGAAAGGTCCTGGGATTCTTATTATTGTACTATCACCCCCCCCCCCACACACACACACACCTGTCTCAAATAGGTGAGCTTCCTGGCTGCTTGGAAGGGCAGAGGTTTCCTCTACTCATCCCACAGAGCCTCTGGGCTGCAGCAAGCCGGGGAGGGAGTGTGACTATTATTCCCCTTCTCCCCCAGGAGCAGCTCCAGTGTCTGCCTCTGCTTTTAGCTTTCCAAATTAGCAGGTGCTGGGAGAAAGAGACAGATTCTAAGGCCAGAATTGATGATCCTGGTCAGTTTTGCCTACTGGCCACAGCATTCTCAGTGCTGTTGTTAATCTCAACTGCTCTTGTTAATTTCATGCTGTTGCTTGGCAAAGCTATGAGCAGAAGCAGAGGCACTGTCTGCAGACTTGGGAACATAGGCACTGCATTGATTTACATGGAATTCATATTTGGGAAGGTTTTCTTTGCAATCATAAGGACCAAAACCTTAGATTCTGTAGCGAAGCCTATCACTCACTAGTAAACTGACTTGCCTTGGGTAATTGGGTTTTAAGCCCATTTCATAGAGTCATAGAATATATGGGTTGGAAGGGACCTCAGGAGGTCATCTAGTCCAACCCCCTGCTCAAAGCAGGACCAATCCCCAGACAGATTTTTGCCCCAGATCCCTAAGTGGCCCCCTCAAGGATTGAACTCACAACCCCGGGTTTAGCAGGCTAAATGCTCAAACCACTGAGTTATCCCCCCCCCCCCCCCCTGTCTATCAGCCTCTTCTGTACCTGATGTAGGATCAAAAGTTGGGATTCATTTGCTTACTCTTCCTGACATGTTGGAGGTATTTAGTCCCAGTGTAATGTTACATCGTTTGTGGGTGCTTTATCCTGCCTTTGTGGTGGATGGGCCCTATGGTATAATAGTATTCTGCAGTGTATCTGCTGTCATCCTATTGTGTATGGAGCTGAGACTTAAAAACTTTCTCTGGCTTCCTTCCAGGGATCTCAAAGCCCTTTACTAACACTGAGTTTAGCATCCCAACCTCCCTGTAACACAGGCAGTTTTGTCCCATTTTATAGTTGAGAAACTGAGGCTTAGAGAGGGCTAGTGTCTTGCCCAAAGCCAGTATATGACAGAGCTGAGAACAGAGCCCATATATCCTGATTCCTGTTTCTTTGCCTTAACCCACAATCCCATCCTCTCTCTCCTTCAGCGCATAGCTTCTGTGGGCATGTAAAAAGCACTTAATGTCTAAAAGAAACAGGCTGTGTCAGAAATCAGCATTGGGGAATAACATGGTGTCTCAGCACAGAGAAGAATATGAGCATTTGTTTGCTAGGACTGGCAGTGTTTTGTCCTAGACATCTGCGATAGAACAGATCGTGTCTGCTGGAGACAAGAGAGCAAGCCATAGCTCTTACATTTTTATTATGGGCCTCTGGACTCCTGAAGAGGGAGTGAAATCTGGTATCTTCTTACACAGCTCTCAGCCTCTGTTTTTGTTTAGTTTGCTCTCCCCCAGCCCTTGAAGGTCCTCTCCTCCCAGAGTCTCTGCTTTATGCTTGAGAGGCCCAACATCTCAGCTATGACTGTGGGTATGTCTACACTACAGGATTAATCCGAATTTAGATAATTCGAATTTGGGAAACAGGTTGTATAAATTCGATTGTGCGCGGCCACACTAAGCACCTTAATTCGGTTTTTAACCACATTAATTCGGTGGTGTGCGGCCACACTACCCCATTAACTTAAACACAGTAATTCGGTGGTGTGCGGCCACACTAACCCTAATTCGAATTAACAAAATCGATTTAGGCGTTACTCCGCTCGTCGAGGTGGAGTACAGAAATCGATTTTAAGTGCCCTTTAATTCGAATTAACTGGCTCTGTAGTGTGGACGGGTGAAGGGTTAATTCGGATTAACGCAGCTAAATCCGAATTAAAGTCCTAGTGTAGACCAGGCCTGTGTGTGTGTCTGTGGGGAATATAGTCTGTTCCCCATTCCCCGTGGAGGGGAAAGGATCTGTCAATCTTCAGTCCAGGGAGGCCTGGCTGGAGCAACTGAAGTGCTGCTCCCTAGTTGGCCAAGTCAGATGACACGAGACACTCCTTCCATCCCCTCCTTGCGCAGGCCAGCTAAGGTAACTTCCCAAACCCTCTGCAGATTGCTGCCTGGCTGCTGTCTCACAGCAACGCTTCTTCCTGGGATTCTCGCTATACTGGGATGTCAGTTCCAAAGCTTCCAAGCAGCCGTAGGGGTGAGAAGAGGGCCAGTGGGTTTAATTCTGTTGGTTGCTGGGGTTTCCTTCTCTGATCAGATGCTGAAATGTGTGCCCACACGTGGCTGCCTCCTGAAGGGTTTGAAAACTTCCTAGCTCAGGAGTACACCTGCAAATCCAGGGTGGGGGTGAGGCTAGCATCAGCCAGTGTGCTCTCCTGCCTTAGCTGCCAAGTTAATGCATAGCACCTGCCAGCTGGCTTGTGGAATAATAGCAACTCCTCCTCCCTTTGCAGGCGTTTCCTCTGGGTTAAACATGCCATATGGGCAGACCTGTTTGGGTCTGAAGTGTTTTGTTGCCTTCTATGTAAGAGGCAGTGTGGCCTAGGGGGCTACGCATGGGACTGCGAGGCAGCAGCTCTGGGATTTCCATCCTAGCTCAGACACTACACTGGTTTATGCCTTGTGTAAGCCAACTGAAATTGTTGCAAAAAAACCCCACTGCTTGCAATGCTTCTACCTTACAACACTTCCATGTCTAAACACAACAGTATTTGGGGGCAGTAAGGGAGTGACGCTTGAGCTTCTCTGAAAGCTGTGGCCCGGACATCATAGAAGGGAGCTGTGCTGCATGCTGATGCATCGCAATGGTTTTGTCAGAAACCATGTGGCTGTGGGGACAAGTGAGATGGCCAGTCGCTTCATGCCATTGCTGTCCCAGGAGCAACACTGGGTAAAGCTGCTTAGCCTCTGCGCCCAGGGCCGGCTCCAGGCACCAGCCCACCAAGCTTGTGCTTGGGGTGGCACCTGGAGGGGGGCAGCGCGGCGCTCTGGCCGCCGGGGGGAGAGCGGAGCCCCGGCCGGGGCTCGCCGCCCTCTCGCCGCC